CATACACAAGTGTTTTTTAATACAAATTGTAAATATTTTCTGATAAATATATATGTATGTTGTATACGTATATATATGTGTATGTTTTAGACAAATCTTAAAGGGATTTCTAATGGACCCTACATGGACCAACTAATGGCGTTTTCGATTTGCTACTCGACCCGACTCGGGTCGCATCAATGGACGTGGAATACATACATAAATATGTATGTATTCCACGTCAATGATGCTAGAGTCCTGTATACATGATGCGACCCGAGTCGGTTTGAGTCGCAAATCGAAAAGGCCATAAGTTAATCCAAAATTATATTAAAAAGATCTTACGTATGATCATTTTAGAAAGATTTAAATCTTTAAAGCTACGCTTATTTCTTTTTCCTGTCCAGCTAAAATTTTGGGCTAAAGTATCTGTCATTACTTTTTTCATAATATTTCGTATCATGGCATGTGCATCAACTCCACCAACAAGTTTAAAAACGTTAAGCTAAAAGAAATAAACAATATTAAAAATAATATTAAATTAATACAGATTTTGTTTAATAATTAATGACTTTTAAATAAATTTAGCTTTCTTTATTTTAACAATATGTAACAGAAATATGTTATTCATGAATTAATGATAAGAAATGTAATCAAAGATAACATTACATTGTTATATTACTCTATAGAAAAAGCATTAACATCTATAATAATATAATAAAAATAAGAAATCTTTATCACATACAACTGTATCCCTAAATTTGATTTCCTGTAATTGGTCTTCAAAGGATATTAACTCAGTAACTGTAGAAATCGGGAAATGGATATCGCATTCTTGGCTATCAAAATCATGACAGGAAAATTGAATTTTCTCTTCTAGCATATTAAATCTGTTTTCTATAATGCCTAATTTATACGATATTGAGTTCAATTTTCTTATAATCAGTTTCTTGAACTCTGGAACAAATATATATTATCTAATTACTGCTACTATTTAGTGCTAAGTATCATACAATAATTATACATATACTTTTTAAGTACAGGACCTTTTAGTAAAAAAAAAAGTAAAAAATATAACAATAATTAATTTTTATAATAAATACCATCATAAGTATAATTCTCGGCATTTTCAGAAAAATCTTGCATATGAAGGTTTGTTTTATTCGCAGCAATTTGCTTCTTGTTATTTTTATCTAAGCAGTAAGAAATTATTAATGATTTTTGTCGTAATAAGGGTCATAGTATTTTTAAATTTTAATTATAACTTACTATTACTGTTCATAGGATTAATAACATTTTTGTCATGTAAAATATTTGTAATATTTTGTGTAGGCTTCTCAATGTCTTTATCAATTGATAGAGAATTTTCTTTGTCAGGAAAAGGAGGCAGTATTTTACTTTGTCTTATATTTAGTTTATTTTTTTTATTTTTTAAACAGATGTCTTCTTCTTCTGAAGAAGAAGAAGATGATGATATTTGTCTCTTAGCTTTCTTACGTCTTTGCTTTTTTTTTTTTCAGTTAAACTATTTGATGACATCCCAGTGTCATCTATATTTGACGTGTCTTGCGCTACACTTAATTTTTGTAAACTTTGCTCATAAGTATCTAAATCATTAAAAACAAAAAAAATTATACAACAATTACATATATTAAATAATAATTTATATAAATAAAATTCTCTTACTTGCTCCAGAAATTTTTTAAATTGGTAACTCCTCCCAATCAGAGGCATTCTCGAGGCATCTCTCTTGCTATTATAGCCTTGTTAATACGGTATTTAGTTTTCATATGTTTAGGCCATATACATGATATTTTATCAGTATTGTACCATACTGAGGGTATAATTTGTAGCCCATCATGAAATTCCGCAATGATAAATTGATATTTATCCATTTTTCTATGATAAAATATTCCGTGATACATATCATGTGTAGTTTACATTATTGAAAAAAAATTATCTAACATACATAATCTAACATACATAATTATATTGTATGATTAAGAGGAAATATTGCAAATGTATTTGAATGATTTCCGAAAGGAATTTTCCATGCTTTACCTAATAAATCTGTAACTGGCCATGAAAATATGCTATCATTATTTACTGTCATTACTTTTATATTAAAATCACTGGATTTGTATGGTAATTCATATACATCTTTTATGTACTTAAGTTTCTTACCAATAAGAAAAAAATCTTCATTTCTTTGTACTACATTTAAAATTAATACATATTGACCGCTTTTCAAAAGACAACAATTATTATTACGACCTTTACAATTGATATTGAACTTTCCATTTGACATCATCAAATATTGCGATTGAATATTATAATTATCTGGTACTGGACTATTGTTATGTAAATATTTATATGAATTTAATGTTTTATTATTAATATTTGACAGAAAAGAATTACAATTTTCAATTTCATTATACCTTTTATATAGTTGTTGCAGCGGTTTTTCATGTTTACGTAATTTTTTTTTTATCGACATCATGTAGTTTTCAAAGCGGAAAGCACTAAAATTATCTAACGGACCATATGTTCTTACGTCGGAACATAAATGTAATAAGTTATGTATGTTATGCGACATGTAGTGCGTACCATATAAAATTTCAAATGACATGACAAAATGATTAAGTAACGATTCAGCAAAATTTATTAATTCCTCATTCAAATTTGGACGTATAAGAATTGTAACAGCTATGTGTAGTGTGAGAAAATTAAGATATATGTCTTGCTTTAATACATGCCTTAATACAATGGGTCCTGTGTATAATAAAAAATTTCGAAACTCTACTGCTTTCCATTGCTTGACATCTTTTAACGATCTGGGTTTTCTAACGAAATCGTTCGGTGTTGTATTTTTCAGCGAAATTAACAAATGTGATATTTTATTAATGGATCTGATACTTAAGCGTACATAAAGTGGACCATTTATCCAAAGAAGGATTATTTTTTTGACAACGCCTAAAGGTATAAGATGCATATAATCTAGTGGTGTGTTACTTATTGGCAAAAATCCAGGAATATTGTTTAATATAGAATACCCACTTTGAAAATCTTGATAAGCATTAGCGGAAAATAGTTCATCTTTTCTAGAAGGATATAATGTTTTTCTATATGGAAAGCAAACTCTACCATTTACATATTTTCCTTTAATTACACATTTTATGCAGCTGTAAAAACCGGTATGGCCTTTTCTACACAACACAAAAGATTTGGCGGGTGCATCACAAATTAAACAAACAATCTAATTTTGATTATGTTTTCATTATAGATATAACCATTATTAATAAAATTAATTAAATCGTCGACTAAGGGTTGCAGGAAAACATTAGAATCTGTGGGTTTTTTGTAAC